AGCTGTAATATATTTTTAAAAGTTAATAATAATTAATAAAATATAATAAAAGTATATATCTGCTAGGTAATTACGTAATTAAAAATTTCAATTAGATAAGACTTGTATTACAGAATATATTACATTATATGCATTATTATAAGTTTAATAATCAAATTAAATAAAAATTATAACTATTAATGTTTAAATTAAATTTTAAGTTTCAAAATAATAATACTGAATTAACAAGTTTAAAATTTTTGATGTAAAATAATCCTTATTACAATTTACATGTATATCATGTTGATTGCTATGTCATGGGGGTGCAGTCATTAGGGGGTGCAGTCATTAGGGGGTGCAGTCATAGGGGTGCAGTCGATTTACGTTGATACTGACCAATATCTAGGGGTGCAGGGGTGCAGGGGTGCAGTGGGGGTGCAGTATAGTGCCAACCCTTATTTTATGTTTATTTTAATTATTAAAAATTTTAATAATATTTGTTTTAAAATTTATTTTAAATTATGGATAAAATTATAAAGATAAACTGACAAATAATAATCTTTGTCAGATTACCGTGCTGGAACCATTAAAGTGACAATTTTATAAATTGACACATATCGATTGATTATTTTTACATACAATTTTTTAAATTCTTGTAACTAGCTTTATATTCTAAAAACATGAACAATTTGCGAGACCCATCGGAACAGACAGTCTGTTTATTACAGAGAAGTTATGTTTGTAGAGAAGATTTAAAGTGTTTTATAAATTTAAAATTACAAAATTGGATATATTTATTAGTTTGTATATGTTTTCATTTGAGATTACGCTCAGACAATAATCTTTAAATGAACTGGTTTAATTACTAATATAATAATCAATGAATAAAATTAATTAAATTTTTAACAGATAATTAATAAGTCTATCTAATATTTTCCATAATATTATAAAGCTAATATTCAAACAAATATAAACGGTTATTAGTAATTTAGTTTACTGTTATAATTCATTGACCGGTTTACTGAAAAATTTTAAATTCAATGATAAGTATAAATTAAAATTTTAACAATATTGTTATTAGAATATACATATTATAACTTGGCTATTATAACTAAGACTATACTTGATAAAAATTATTTCATTCATAAGACACAATTCCATTTATTAAATTATCACTAAATCACCATATATATATTTGTGATTTTAAAATTTATTTACAGTCATTTACATAAATTATATTGTATTAATCAAATACAACAAAATTTACACACATCTTAGAATTTAGAGACAATTCCAATTATTAAATTTTTAAAATGTAAATAAAACTAATTACTGTGACAATTAAGTAATAATTTAATTTGATTAAAATTAATTTTATGTTATCTGTTATTTAAAGTAAATTTTAAAAAATCAATAGAATTAAAAAAAATAAAAGTTAATTGTTATTAAAATATTTGACATAAATTGCGAATAATATTTATAATTTATAAAGATACTGTTACGCAAAAACATTATTTTGCTATTTTAAATTAAAAATACAATTTACAAATTTATATAATTTTATACTAATTAATGTATAAATTACTATATTTAAATATGGCACTTTTATATAATGTATTATTTACTGTTATAAAAATAATTTAAATTACACAATAAAACAAACAGGTCATGTTATAAATTTAATGGTAAAAAATTAGTTATGTTGTAAATTGTATATTTTAATCTACGTCTAATTTTAATCATTCGTCAAAATTATAAATAAATCTAAAATAATTAATGGTCTTATATGAGATAATCCGATTATCATAGGTTTAATGTTTAACAATTAAATATCTTATTATTTTTATTTTAAGTTACAGCTGAGAAATAAATAGGCGGCACCAGTAGTCACCAGTACATCAATAAACTGGTATAATGGGTGTCATCTGACCCGCCTTAAGTCAACTCTCCACCGGTCTGTGCCCTCACGTCTCGTCTCAGGTCGTGTGAGATGACCGGCGCCGACACCACTCCCTGTGATATCATTTTGATTAATAAATATATAATTTGTTGCAAACTTGTGTATAATGTTTGTCAATGCGTTAATTATTTGTAATATTTTGGCACTTATTTTCAAATCAATTTATATTGTAATAATATAATAGCCACTAGTCCACAAAATGTGTTACCCATTCCCCCACCCCTCCTATCCACTATTGTATGTTATGTTTTTTAACATGTCCTATTCAATCATTTGTCTTATATTTCATGTCACATGATTAGAGGTGTAGAAATAAAGCAAAATTGTTTAACTTATAATAATAATATTTTAACGATTTTTATACAAAAATCTAGAACACATTTTATTGAATTATAAATAAATTTACTTAACAAATTTTAATTAAACTTTTATAATAAACTGTAGCATAATTTTAAATATACTAAATAATTATAATCTTATTAAAATTATAAATTAAACGGATCAACCTCAAATAAATATAATTATTAAATGTAATCGCATTACATTTTTTGTATTTAATAAATTTTGTAAAATATATCACTGTTTACAAATGAATACTAAACATAATAATATAATCTTATAATTTTTAAGTACTCTGTTTAATTTGATATAAATGTTAAAGTATTAATAGTATTTTATTAAAAATTAATTTTATATTTATTTATCACTAAATATTTTATTAAAATAAAAACACAATTTATTTAAAAGTATTTAAATAATTTATTAAGCTGTAACAAAATTTGAAATATTGCATAAAATTATTATTGTGTTATTATTTTAACAATCTGTTTATTACAGGGAAGTTATGGTCATAAAGAGGATATGTAAAGTGTCTTATAAATTTAAAACTACAAAAATCGAATATATTTATTAGTTTAGGCAATTTTTCACACAATAGCCAACAAAACCATTGATATCTCATATCAATGTGCATGGTTGTTTGGCAAAATTAAGTCAATTCAGATACAAATACTGTATGATAATTTTTGATACACTTCGGTCACATACAGATCCTGACAAGGGAAATTATGATCGGTATTATTGGCTTTAAAATTAACTGGATAATTATATTTCAAATCAACCAATTATTTACATCGCCAATAATCAACATGGTCCACAATTCTAATTAAATTATCTAATTTTATTATTTATAAATCTTAGCGTTAATATAAAAATACGCAATTAAAAATATATATAATAATTAGAAATCGATTTGAGTCCAATTTATAAACTATAAATATGAATCACATATATTTTATCAGAATAACAAATAATTTACAGCCATTAATTTTACTAAATTATATGTGGCTAAACATATATTTGTGTATATTAAATTGAGATTGTCAAAATACATGGTAAATCTGAGGGCCAGTAACTAAGTTGTAAGTTTCAAATTCCAATCGATTTATAAACACATCCAATTTTTTATGTAATTGTTTGACTGCTTTGGTCAGCGCGAGTGACGCCAATCAAGACTTACATAATTATATTTGCAATCAAAACACAGACAGAATATTATCTAGTCCGTCATAAAGTATTGTTCCATATAATACTAATAATTCCATAGTTCCATAATATTTATACTATAATTATATCCATATAAACAGTTTAAAAAACTCAAAAATATTAAAATATTAAAAATATTAGTTATAGTTAAATTGTTAATTTATTATGGTTGTTAGTAATCAGCAATAATTTATTTGTTTTCTTTTAATCATTATAAATTAATGCAACCAAATACTACCATATGTTTAAGGGACCGTAAATTAAAAATAATACACAATTTAAATTACTTGGTTGTTAATAAAATATATATAACTGGCACACACTAATTTGCCCCGTGCCCTACTTGCTAGGGCAGACGTTGACGTGTGCCCTACTTGCCCGGCATAACCAGAAAAACGGTATTAAGTAAATATAATCGGTCCAGAATATCCGGGACAATTATATTAAGCAAATATATAAATTAATGTAAAACATTATATAACTTATTTGTATTATTTTAATAAACTAATTTTTATATGACTAACGTCAACGTCTGCCTTAGCAAGTAGGGCACGGGGCAAATTAGTGTGTGCCTAAATAATAATCACATATATTTTGTGATATTAAAAAATAATTTACAGTCATTAATTATTACATTTAAGGGCCAGTAACTGAGTATCAAATTATTTGATTCAAATACCAGTTGATGTGTAGACACATCCCATTTTTACTCACATAAGAAGATAATTATATTTGTGATAAAAACACACCACACATGTTACATGGTATTTGGAGAGTATACTTTTGGGAAAATGTATTTCACGGATAGTATGGTGATTGAATTTAATTTTCACAAATAATAGATTAAGTTATTAAACTATTAAACACAAAAGTTTTTGTTTAAATAACTCCAATATTTCGCAAGTAATTTCTTGTCCCATTTTAATTGTAGATTTTAAAAATGTACACATATTTATCATTGTTTTTAATTTAAGTTACAGTTATTCTATATGTAAAAATTACAATTAATTTTTTTAGCAATGTTTTTCAACAAATTAAACAGCTTGAGCAAATCCAAGCCTACTATTACCAAAATCAAACTCGGAATAATAGGGGCCGATAAACACGTCACCCAAAGTCCAAATAGTCGCTGAACTACCTGTATCATAGCCAAACCCGGACAGACAACTTCCATCATTATTCACTACATATTGATTAGGTGTCAGCGGGAACTCCACACCATTAATCAAAAAGCTAATCACTGGTAAACTACCCATAGTATTACAATCTAGATTATAATAGCCATTACCCTGATCTTGGCCGTTGATAAAATTATTTATATTGCGTATATCAGTGGTGGGACCAATAATCAGGGTGGTCCCTGTGTCGGCCATAGCCATGCAACCACCTGAACAAAATTGTGGACCTCCATTGGCTACACTACCGCCACCGATATTAAACGACCACCATAATTGTTGAGCGTTAGGACTGAGCGGTACGACCGGTACGTATGTGAGTGCACCGGTATAGTGGTCGGGGTCTGAGCCGCCCAACAGTAGTTCACCGCCCGGTTGGCCATTAATGTCACGATTCAGGTAGAATGAGAATACAGGGGTAACCAATCCCTGGGCTATCAAATTGTTAAACGGCGGCACAGCCTTGTCGATGGCGTTTGCGGGCCAGGCCATGCCCAGCACACCGTCGTAGGCGTTGTTTAAGTTGGACCCGGTGATTGTGGTGGCCTCGGCAAATGTTTGTTGGTTAATTATTAAGCCCCCAAAGTTGACC